TTTGGCTGCGGTCGAGTTGCCACTACGAATGCTTTGAAGCGTTTCTTGATTGGTCAATTTGTAAAACTCTTTCTTTTGATTGGTTAATCAAACGCTTCAAAGCATTCGTAGTGGCAACTCGACCGCAGCCATAATCGAACCTTAGCTTTTTAATAATACGAACAAATGCTCACAATTTCGCATGTCGAATAAATAAAAATAAACTCACAAATTTACTTTCGAAATTGCTAAGGGTGCCGTCCCATCACGGATCAGAATGACGGATCGGGTATCTCACTAGAATTGAGCATTCTGTTCCAGTTCCGTTCTGTGACAGTTTTCTCTTCCCGTCCCATTCAGCAAAAACGGAACGGAATGTTGCATCGATCGTTGGTAAATATGCTTGATTTATTGATATTTCGTTATTTTGAGCAGTTGAAGCAATAATATACATATAATTTGTGCAATTATATTCCTGATAATATTGTTGTGAGTTCTCTAAAATATTGAATTGTAACGGTAAAATATATTTTGTAACCAGATTCCTTTCCGTTTTTTGCTGAATGGGACGGGTAGAGAAAACTGTCATGGAATGGAACTGGAACGGAATGCTCAATTTTAGTGAGATACCCGATCCGTCATTCCGATCCGTGCTTAATGGGACGGCACCGGATTTACGGATTATCGTATATGGAATTACATGCGCATGCGTCGGCTAGTAATGTGCCAACGTCACGGACATACGCCATGGGTTTAGTACATACTTTTCGGAATCATGTTGTACATACATAAAGACGTCTTTTCGTTCTGATACCACAGTACCGTTTGGTTAGGAGTGTTTCGGGCTGTGACGTCACAAACAGATACTATTATCGAAAATGACATTTCACTGCCACTATGGAAACACGAATAGTTCTTAGTATAATTCTGGTGGTAAATATGGATCAGAAAACAAAGTTAGCCTTAATGATACAATTATTTGAAGGGGACACCTTTGATGATGACTTACTTGCCATAGCATGTAGTAAGTCGGGAGCAGCGTGTAATGTTGCTATTTCAAAAGAGGATATATCCTCTGTATACAGCAGCATTTTAGGTTAGGACATTTATGCGGCGAAGAATGGGTCCAGTATTATTTGGATTTTGATTTTCTCCAGCTATTTCGGTAAGAATCACAGAAAATTCTATGTGATACTTCCGACATTTGGATATTACCAGAATCATCCTGGCTGCGTTCCGTTATTCACTGAAAAGCTATAGTATACGTAACGCGAACTATAAATTTTCAGTACTTGCAGTGAATAACGGAACATAGCTTCTGATACAGCATATGCTGGGGGCTTATTACGGTTCTTGTGACAAAAGTAAAGATTACAAAAATGAGCAAATTCACTAGGTGTTAACCAATGAGTTATAAATATTCTAGTAAATTCAATCACTTTTGTAATTTTCAATCCGTCGTAAGAACCGTAATAAGCTCCCTGATCAAGATTTGAGATTATGTTGTCCATCACTATTTGCAGCGACGGATTCTTTCCCGCTCAAACAGGTAACCGCAAACATGCAAACGACCTCCCCGGTTTGGTTGGATGTTTGGGTCCTACCACGCTAACGCGTTAGCATCGGTGACGTCACAACCACGAACGAAAATAGTCGTGGTTACGTCTGGTTGGTCGTGGTTGGATAACGAAAATACGCCTCTTAGAGCCCAGTAAAGACCTATAATCAAAGATGCGCCAACTGTCCCCCACCACTACTTCTCACCTAGCCTGGCAGCGTCAGGCAGGTTAGGTTGGCACGGATACGCAATGGCGGACCAATCATGGGCCGTTCGGGCCATGGAGTATCTTTGATTATAGGTCTTCACGTTAGGCAGGTAAGGTTGGCACGGGTACGTAATGACGGACCAATCACGGACCGTTTGCGGTTGACGTCTTTAGAGCCCAGTTAGCGATCTAGTGTTATATAAATATCTAGGGTGCTTTCTATCAAGGCTTTTAGGCGACACACATCGACACAGTGTCGAACGCGGTGCTTTCGAACAACGACACGCCACGGCACAATTGAACACAGCATAAAAGCATAGTCGGACGCTCTTGGTTATGGTTGCCAATTTTCGGTTGACGCTTTAGAATATTTACATTTTAAATATATGTACGATATAAGGTGTACGTTCATAAAGGTTGATTTATACTGGCCGTAAACTGTTAACTTATGCCGTAATCTGTAAAAAGTGACCAATCACAGTCGAATGAGAGGGGAATAATCGATTATAATTGGTCAATTTTTACAGATTACAGCATAAGTTAACAGATTACGGCCAGTATAATCCAACCTTAAGTCATCTGGATTATTTTTTTTCGATGTTATAACTTCGTCGTAAGTCCGTATCTACAATAGAGTTTTAAGCTTTAAATCACAAGAAATGGACGAGTCATGGTCGATTATTCTCCTTGAATTCGACTGTAATTGGTTAATTTCTTACAGCTTAAGGCTTAGGGCTGCGCATAATGGAGGAACAGATATTAGATATTAAAATATTAAGAAGAAGAAAGCGATATTACTGCGGTAGTAAGTATATATGCGTCAATGCTGAAAAACTATCAGCGTCGCGATTTATGGGGGAGCTACATAAGCAGTATATAAAATTCACACAATTATAATAAGCACTGTGATCCAGCTTCGACCGTAAATGGCTTTCTTCTTCTAGTTTATTATTGTTTATCAATTGTACGGTCTTAAAAATATTCTAGTATTTGTTAAAATATTAACCTATCAAAATCGTGTATTCCGGTGTAACTGGTATCTGATAGGTTAATATTTTAATATCTAATATCTGTTCCTCCATTGTGCGTAGACCCTTAAAACACGTATTGTAGATCCGGGGTAAATCGAACCGTGTAAACGTAATACACAACTACACACCACACATCACACCTTGCCCACACGTACAGTAACGTCCAATCAGATTTAAGCACACTTTTACCTCGTTGCAACGTTCCCCCCCCTGATGTACATTGGTATACATAGTTTATGATAGGCTCAAATTTCTTATTCCTTCTATTGTGGCTGCACCCTTATATTTACTACAGGGTGCATTCTTTTAGGCATCGCATACAGCAGTTCTTGAAATAATTCGTTCTTTTACATTGCAGCGCAGATTTTCGTTCTTTTGGCAATGGATATGCAGTAGATACGTAGACGATTAGGCCCTTGACACAATGCGAGGGAATAGCGATAGCGATAAGTTTCAACCTATCAAAAATGCGTATTCCGATGTATTCGATTTCTGATAAGTTGAAACTTATCGCTATCGCTATTCCCTCGCATTGGCTGCGTTCAGCAGAAAAAGCAGCTTTGCAACTGTTGTAAAATTCTTGAATATGATTGGCTTATACATTTATAGATCTAATGAGGAAATATGGGCAAGACCAATCGTATAAGACCAAGCATTTTACAACAGTTGCAAAGCTGCTTTCCATGAAGGAAGATATAAGGAGACTCCACTCGGTCTCGCCAGTCTACAAGACATGAACCCATTTTAGGTTTCGAGTTCCGTTTCCGATTCTCGACACTCGCAGCGCTCGTGAATTTAGTAGTGCTGCGCATAATGAGTGCGAGTAAGAGAAATGATCATTTCTCTTACTCGCACTCATCAGAATCGGAAGCTGAACTCGAAACCTAAAATGGGTCCACTTTTATTTTACGGAGTGGAGTCTCCTTATATCTTACTTCCTGCTGCTTTCTCTGCTGAATGCAGCCATTGTTTCCAGCTTTAGGGCCTTAGCAGAAAGGTGACTTATAAATCTTAAGACAGTGTTTTGTAACTTAAGTCTTATGACTTTAGTAACGCACAAGAACTGTCTTAAGGGTCTGCGCACAATAGGAGAAATATTAGGAACAGATATTAAATGTAAGAATTTTAACCTATCAGAACTGTGTACTGTGGAATGTGCGCTTTCTAACAGGTTAAAATTATTATATTTAATATCTGTTCCTAATATTTTTCCTATTGTGCGTAGACCTTAAGATTATAAGTCACCTTTCTGCTAAGGCCCTTAAGCCTTGTGTCCACGATACTAGAAATCGGTCCGAGATCTCGGATGAAGGAAAAATTGACCAATTACATTGGTCATGTGACCAAATTGTTCAAATGCGATTTGTTAATTCTTTCTTCATCCGAGATCTTGGACCGATTTCTAGCATCGTGAACACAAGGCTTTAGAATTAGCTACGCAGCCGGCATTGTATCTGCGTGATCGTATAAAAAACGGCCGTTCGGCAAATCCGATGCAGCGGCTGCCAAATCCGATACCTAAAAGAACGCACCCACACTGGAGCGGTTCAAATATGGCGGCTTAGGAAGTGATGGCGAGGATCTATCTGGTGGTGGGGATTCGATTGCGCTTCTCTTTATATATACAGGACTGTATTGGCACCTATTACTGGTTTTTGCTGAGCACGCGCAGAAAAACGCGTCCATGCTAGCAAGTAACAACACTGGTTCCAAACGTTTCTGAAATTAGTATTATTGCGTGCCTGTGATCTCTACCATCAGTCTTATAATACGTTCATTCTAGAAAAAACCAAACGAAACGGTTGCGGAAATTGCTTAGTGAGAAGTAGACTGTAGTGAGAGTAGACTTTTCCCTGATCGTAAGCTAGTACGAAATTGACGATGAGTTCTACCGATTCTAACAGCAGCATAAACAACGGCGTGCAGCGTGATGATCGTGACGCATTTGGTTCATTCGGCAGGTATGTATGTACAAGTCGTACTTGGGTCCATTATTCGCATCTACTTGCTCATGGCTCGAAGCACGTATGTCACATAATTCGCAACGCAATACAAATCACCGTCGTAAATGTCCATGTACAGAGCATCAGAATTGTTTATTTTGTCTTTCAACAATATTTACAAGCTACGGTAGGAATATATATACATATATATATGTATACATATAATCGAATATTTGTACTCGATATTAGCAGTGTAACAAAGGAAAATATTGTTGGAGCTGAGGTACACTTATCTTGTGTAAGATGTAGATAAAATTGTTTAATACGCAGTATCGTTCGTTCAGAGATTACTCGAAAGGAATTATTGTTGCCATTGAATAGATTAACTTCCATTATTTTGTGAATAGGTATAAAATTCCCAACTTGTTTCAAATTAATCCCTTGCTGAATAGTGTCTCATATATAATATGATGCATCTATCATTTAACTGTTTTTCGATTTCTACGCATTTTATAATTAGTTTATATAGGATAATATAACAAGACAGTAACATATTCAATATTGAAACATCTTCATCTTTTATGGTCACGTTTTAAAAAAGTCACACGATGGTTACTTCTAAAATGACCCGAACCATATTTGAAGTGTTAAGTGTTACTAAATCAACAGTATTAATTTAGTTCCATTGACTTTAAAAAAATTACAATAGATATATAATTTCATTCTTTAATAAAATTAACAATGTGGTGTTGGAATCAAAAATTTAATTTTAACACTAAAAAAATTGTAACTGTTAAATTTGAAAAATGTTTGGAAAAAACAGTTATAAAAAATAAAAAATAAAAAATTATAACTTTGTAAATTTATATTTATTTGTGTTCGGAAAGTTCATTTCAATTTTTTAGTTCAAAATTATATATACATCTTCGTAAAAAAATAAAAGATATTTAAATTTAAAAAAGGGTTTTAAAGCTTGAAATTTCGAAAGGTTACTATATTTTTTAAATTTTTGTAAATTTAGTAATTTTTACATATACATATATAAAAAATTACGAGGTGAAAAAGTTGAAAAATTTTCACTTTGTGAGTGTCCCAAAAAAATTTGCGAAAATTTTCGACTATCTCTATCGTGAAAACTTGAAGTTTTCCTTATAAAATCGTTAAGATTACTTTTACGATTTTTTGTTTCGGAGTTATTCATGAGTTTTGAGTAAAGAAACATTAAGATTTTGGTTGCTCATAGCTCCGTTAAAAATCACCGTACCACAATTAAGAAATTAAATTTTTTTAACTGAAACTTTGTTCTATCGAATGCACAGTGGGATAAAAATCCAAAAAATTGACCAAAAGTCAATCTTGAAATTCGAATAGAACAAATGTTATTTCATATTGTAAATAAGCTGAAGAATATCTAACTAAATTGTAAACAGGCGTCATCATTTTACTTCCATTTGGCAAGGCAATGAAAGTGAAAAAGTCATTAAATTTGTTTTGTGAGCTACACGTACAATATTTTCATTAAATTCAAGAATATTTGTTATATTTAAAATGTTATTAATTTTTGAGGTGTTTATGGATGGCTGTTGAGTGAAAATAGAAACCTAATAAAAGTTATGATGTTTTTTGTTAATTTATAAATAAGATGTTTTTTTCACCAAACTTCTAAAATTTGTTCACTTATACAAATTTTCGTTTTCACGACGCAGGACGATGCAGATATATTAAGTTAATATTGCAACTATAAAGTAATCAGAAGTTCTGATTAGAGTTCCCACTTTTTTTTGACGAGATTAATGCCCATTTCCACCAATGTAGATTAACTTTAATCTCGGTTCAATTTGCTCTTCGTCTTTTTCTAGTTCTAAAAATTAGAAAAAGATGAACAGTAAGTATGCTTTCCTTTTAGAAGACACACTCGACACAAACATCATTTGTTTGTTGACACAAACATTCTATCTTTATCATTCGTTGAATGTTAAGAAGGAAAGAACGACGTTTGTGTCGAGTGTGTCATCTAATAGGAAAGCATACTTCGAGATTAAATCGGAAAGTTAAATCGAGATTAAAGTTAATCTACATTGAAAATAAATGTTTAGATACAATAGTTCTAATTAGAGTTTCTGCTCCCTTTTAACGAGATAAAAAATTTTTTGGACTTTTTAACGTCAGATTCGCTTAATAACAATTTTTTAATTTTTTTTTAATAATTGGGCACTAACTTTTCGAAATTCAAGACCGAATAGTATCTGAGCAGCTTAATAGCTCTAGTTTATGAATATCTAGAGTTCCTGATACACAAAAAAAACATTTTTAACGTGTAACTAAATTAATAAAAACAAAATTAAAAATTTTCCATCTTTTTTTATTGTCCTGAACGATCTTTGTTGTTAATATTGAAATCATCACTTTTGAATTGCCTGAACCAATATTCATATGTCTTAATTGATGAGGCAACGTCACCATAAGTTTAAAAGTCAGAATTCTATGACCTTTAGCCGCCGTTTTTTTTTTTATTAAAAAACAAAATCAACGCATATCGAAAATGCTCTTTAGGAAGCTCCATATTTAAGATAGTATAAACACAATGGCCCGTATTCAGAACGCGATTACAACGATGTTAGCGCTCTACCATGCTATAGTTTACGTTAAGCCGTAATCACACTACAGGCTCCCGACTCTGACTCGACTACTGACTCGGACTCCCGACTATAATTCAACCAATCACAGTAAGGGAGCCTACAGACCATAATTATAAACAGAAGGGGATCAGTTTTCATCACTTAAAAAACAAAAAAAATAATTTTTTTTTTTTAAGTGATGAAAACTGATCCCCTTCTGTTTATAATTATGGTATTGTGCCACAAAACATTATGTAGTATTTCTTTTTGATTTTACTTTATTATTTTCCATTATACCACGTATGAGGTGTCTGACTAGCGAAGCTTCTACCGGCCGCCATTAGGAGCGCGCAGAGAGATCTTTGCATCGCCAATAGAAATCACTCTATTCGATCGACTCTGAGTCGGGAGTCGGGAGTCAGAATCGGGAGTCTGTAGTGTGATTACGGCTTTACGCATATTATAGAATTTCAGAGATAAAAGCGCGCTTTTATCAATAAAAACACGTTCTGAATATGGACCAATGTTTATTGCGTCTATTGTTAGTAAATGACTAAATATATCGGCTGCTTTCCTTTTGGGAGACACAAATCGACACATTATATATATAACACACTCGAACACAGTTTGCCACACTTAAAACGCGTTATGTGCAGTGTGTGTATCGTGTGTACGAACTTTTAATACCTAACCATAAAAGATTTGAATTTTGATCTTAACGGACGCATAAGATTCGATTATTGCAAGGAGTGCGTTCTAATATCATTTAATTCATCAAAATTACACTTGAACAGACTCTCTCGAAACACACTCTGACTCTCCTCCCGAGCAGAGGCGAAGTGTGTCGATTGAATTTGAACAAAATTATAAATGGAAAACGATCACGTGTGTCGATTTTTGTCAAGTGTGTCGACTGTGTGTCCTAAAAGGAAAGCAGCCATCATCAAGTAATATTAAAAAGCATTAAAAAACAATAACTGTGATTGGAATGTGTTCGACAATACTGGCATTAGTGCCATATCTTGCAAAATCCTCAAAACTAAATCACACTCCTAAAGATGACTCGCTGAGTAGATCTTGCGTGTGACTATTTGGGGTATGTTAAGTTAGCACCCCAACTCAGGAGTTCTGATTTGAGTTTCCACTTCCTTTTGACGAGACGAACTATTCCCTATAGTTAATAACAAGAGTTCCGTTCAATAAACATTTTTTTTACATTTTTTAAAAATGGGGTGCTAACTTTTTATCGAATTTCGAGGTGGAATAGTTCTGAGCGGCTTAATAGCTTCAATTTGCGATTGCCTAGAGTTCCTGATATGTAAAAAAAATTTTCGAATAATAAAAAAAAATAAAAAATTTTTTAAAAATTAATTTTTAGATACAATAGTTCTGATGATAATTTCTGCTTCTTTTTGACGATACGAAGAGTTCTCTATGATTTTTAATGGCATATGCGCTTAATGATAATTTTTTAATAATTTTTTAAAAATGGGGTGTTAACTTTTTAACGAAATTCAAGGTCGCATAGTTCTGATCAGCTTAACAGAAGTATTTTGTGAATACCTAGAGTTCTAGATACATAAAAAACATTTTTGAAGAATAATAAAATTTAAAAAAAATAGTAGAAATCTTTGAAAATTTTTATGAGAGTACCGAGTAGTTCTGAGTTGCGTTTCTTATAGTACTCGACGAGTTCTATCGAAAACTGTAAGGTGGAAAAGCGATTGGACCAACGGTTTGCAAGATACAGCGACATTTGTCAGAACATTAACATTTTTTAAAGTGCGTATATCTCGGCAACCGTTGGCCCAATCGCTTTGAGCCCTAATACTTTTTGATCGAACTCGACGAGAACTGTCCAGAACTCCGATCAGAACTACTCGGTACTCCCAAAAAATTTTAACTTCAAATTTTTTTCCAAGTCCCACGTCGGAAAATTTTTT